AAAAAAAAAAAAAAAGTTCTTGGAACATTTTATAATGTATTAATTTTAAGAAATACTTACGCGCAAATTGTCCACAGATTCATGTTAGTCCCATTCTTATTCGAATTAAGAGCGGTGATGGACTGGATCTGGACAGACACTTCCATGACAATAATGGACTGGTTCAAAATGGAAGACATTTTCGCCAATATCTATCAAATCAAGGTACACCATCCCGTGTATTTTGCATAAATTTATGCGTAAATTACTAACAAAATACGTATTGCAGTGTATGCGAGGTGTAGAGGCGGATTTCCCTCAACCACGGGGAGTAAAGAAACAGCAAATGAGCAAGTACTTGGTCGGTGGTGGTGCCCTGTTCTTCATGATCGGTTTAATATGGTTCCCCTTGCTCTTATTTGCTCTCGGTGGCACAGTTGGTGTCTCTAATCTGCCCTACGATGTTTCAATGAAGATCCGAATCGGCCCTTACGAACCAATTTACTCCATGTCAGCGCAAAGTAGCTCCATCATCGAATACAGCAAAGACGAGTTTACGAGATTTTCGAATTCGTACGCGAGAGACAGACCTGCCGTCACTTTCTTGGAGAATTACATACACTCGGATGTCGCTGCTGTGAGATTGAGCGGGTTCTCTCGAAAATTGTGGAGTATATCTCCGCCAGACTTAGAAAGGTACAATTCCGTTGCGTTTCTAGATTCGTTTACTCAATCGTTAATTCCTCAGATTTAAAGAACATCTTTTCAATTCATCATAAAATTTTTCTTACAACGTTAGAAGATTGTAACACAAAAATTCAAGGATTAATCCTCAAGTAATTTACAAATATGACATCTGTGAATTTGTATAATTCTTTTATGGCAGACTGATAACAGAGTTAGAAGACAATAGCACAACCGTGGTCGTTCACGTGGAGTGGACAGTGTCTCGAAAGACAGACGCGAAAGACGCCACTGGGATAACGACAAAGGTGCGAGACATAAAACTGCCACCGTACGAGAATAACGAGTTTAACCCTGTGAGAAGGACGTTAGCTGATATGCTTTCTAGCAATGAATCGACGGTGCATAACGGCACCATTATGTTGCAACATGCGTTTCCAAAGTTTTTGAAGGTGACTGGCCGAA